GAAAATCCAACAGCAAATTTGATTTTAATAGTTTAATTAGAGTGAAATGGGATAAGTCGCTCGCGTCCGTAGGCTCTGACCACCTATTCCTAGGCCCACCCTACACGTGTCCCCCGGGTGGTGCTAAATGAGCGACAAGCCGATAGCACAGACTCGGCTCCACGCCCTGGTAGAGGCGTAAAATATACCACCCTTTATCCGCACCATGAGGAACAATATAATAGAAATGGCCCCGAGTTCCCGGCGCCCCTTTAATGGGGCAGGGGTGCGAAGAATCTCCGGGAGGAAAACCGGCGACGAGGTTCGCCACCCGTCACGTTCTGTCTCCCGGAGAGGCGAAAAGTGGATTGCAGAGGTCCGTCTGGCTACGTTGAATGTATGTGGGGCAATGAATGATAAAATGGATGAAGTATGCGATATGATGAATGATAGAGGAATAGATGTGTTATGTGTAAATGAGACGAAAAGGAAGGGAAAGGATGTCACTACACATGGCATGTATACCGCATACTGGTCTGGTGTAGACGAGATCGAGCGGGCATGCCAGGGAGTAGGTATCATCCTTTCAGAAAGAATGGGCCAATGTGTGAAAGAGTATGAATGTGTAAGCCCAAGACTGCTGTGGATACGAATGAAAGTGGGCTTAAAGAAGTTGTTTGTGTTAGGGGTCTACGCCCCAGACATGTCTAAGCCCACTTATATCCGAGAGCAGTTTTGGGAAATGGTAAGGATGGTGTTAATGGAGTGTAAGGGAAATGAAAATATTATTATGCTAGGAGATTTTAATGGAAGGGTTGGGGTGAGGAGGCTTGGTTATGAAAGGATATTGGGAACGTTTGGTGATGAAAGTATAAATGAGAATGGTGAAAGTCTCCTCACCGTATGTATGGAAAAGAATCTTTTTGTGACGAACACTTGCTTTCGCCACAAGAGGATTCACATGTATACTTGGGAAAGAGGTGACGATAGAAGCATGATAGATTTAATAATTGTGGATGAAAGATTGAGGGGCGCAGTTGTAGATACAAGGGTTTACCGGGGTTCTAACGTAGGAACGGATCATTATTTGGTTCTATGCCGAATTAATGGTCTATTCAGGCGTTGGCGCCATCGGTCATCTGTGTCTACCACTGCGTTACAGCGTATTAGAACAGAAAGGTTACAAGATGAAGGTGAGAAAAAGAAGTTCAAATGTAGACTGAAAGAAAATATAAGTGGTTTGGATGAATTATGTATGAAGGAGTTAGACTTGGAGAATGTATGGCAAAATGTAAAGAAAGGTTTAGTGGATGCAGCTACCGAAGTATGTGGTGTTAGTAAGAGAAAGAATGAAAGGAAAAATAATACGTTATGGTGGGATGATGAGGTACGTATGGAAGTTGAAACAAAGAAAAGAGCATGGCTAGATTTACTAGCAACAAAGGCTGGTAATTCTAGCGGTACGAATGATGATATTGAAAGAAAAAAGGCAGTCTTTAGACATCTTAATAAGAGAGTAAAAGAAGTAGTTGAAAGAAAAAAGCAAGAAAGAACGGATAAGAATGATAGAAGAATATCGGATAATTTCCAGGCAAATATTAAAATGTTCTGGAAACTTGTAAGAACTGCCAGGGGACATTCAAAACAGCCTATGATGAATGCTATAAGAGACGAGAATGGCTATATTCTGAATGATGAAGTTTTGAGTTTAAAGAGATGGAAGGAATATTTTGAAAGCGTGTTTATGAGTGAGGAGACAACGTGTGTACTAAGTGAAGTAGAAATTCCGAAAGAAGAGGAAAGAGGTAGCGAGATTAGTGTAGGTGAAATAATGAAAGCAATGAAAAGCATGAAAGCAGGTAAGGCTGCCGGATATGATAGAGTTTCACTCGAAATGCTAAGGGCTGGAGAGGAAGTGGTGGCAGGCCTGCTGCACACCTTGTTTAATTTATGCTGGGAACTGAAGCGGGTACCGGTAGACTGGTGCAAAGCCGTGATAGTCCCAGTATATAAGGGAAAAGGGTCGCAGCAGGACTGTAAAAACTACCGTGGCATCAGCCTTCTTAGCATTGTGGGAAAACTGTATGCTAAGGTACTGATTGAAAGGGTCATGAAAGAAACTGATGGAAAAATTTGGGATGTGCAAGCAGGATTTAGAAAGGGAATGGGATGTACAGATCAAGTCTTTTCCATGCGCATGATCGCGGAGAAGTTTTTGGCCAAAAACCAAAAGGTTTTTTGTGCGTTCATGGACTTGGAAAAGGCCTATGACAGAGTGAATAGGGATGTGCTATGGCAAATACTGAACTCATTTGGGTTGAGCGCTGGCTTGATACGGGCATTGGAGTCCCTTTATAGGGACTCTAGTGCTTGTGTTAGGATCAACGGGGTCTACTCGGACTGGTTTGACATCCATAAAGGTGTCAGACAGGGCTGTGTAGCTTCCCCGTGGCTGTTCAACCTATTTATGGACAGTTGTTTGCAAAATTTGAAAGTTGAAGAATGCGGATTAAGAATGGGTGAGTTAACCGTCAAATGCCTTTTGTACGCCGATGATCAAGTTATACTTGCGTCGTCGGCGGCCGAGTTGCAAATGATGGTTACATTAATGAACAGATCATTAAAAGAAAGGGGTATGAAAGTGAACGCAAGTAAGACGAAGGTTATGGTTTTTGAAAGAGAAGAAAGTAAAACGATTTGTGAAATAAGAATAGAAGGGGAGTTGATCGAGCAAGTAGATGAGTTTGTATATTTGGGCTGCGTATTTAGCAGGGATGGGAGATATGATAAGGATATAGAACGACGAGTGAATGCGGGAAATAGAGTAAATGGGGCCCTGCACTCTATTGTGAAGAGTCAAAATGTGTCGAAAAAGGCACGTATGGCAATTCACAATGCTGTGTTGGTCCCTACTTTAACATATGGTAGTGAAAGTTGGGTGTGGCAGAAGAAGCACGAGAGTAGAATGAACGCAGTAGAAATGCGGTCGTTAAGGAGTATGTTAGGGCTGAATCTTAATGACAGGGTAAGAAATTGTGTAATAAGAGAAGAGTGTGGTTTGCAAGATGATGTTGTGACCAGGATTAAGAAAGGAATGCTTCGGTGGTTTGGTCATGTGGAAAGAATGAATGAGGAAAGAGTGACAAAGAAAATTTATGTTGCAGAAGTGAATGGCAGAGTCGGAAAGGGACGTCCTAGGCGAAAATTTATCGACCAAATTGGCGATTTATTGAAAACGGGCCAAATTAGGAGTACCCTTAACCGACGAGCATGTATGCGGAGGTGTATGGATGTGAAGGAGGCGAGAGAGGTGTGTCAGGATCGTGCCAAATGGAAGTCTGTAGTCTCTGCCTACCCCTCTGGGTGACAGACGCGAGTGTTTATGTATGTATTATGTATATGTAGAGTGAAATAAGAACACAAACAACAAATCTCTTTACATCCTATTTATATTATTAACTTATTATAAAACTTTCTTACTACATACGTTAACATTAATAAAATCCGGCCAAGAGCGTGTCGGGCCACGCTCAGTGTAGGGTTCCGTAGTTTCCCGTCCGTCACAATAAGTGTTCCCACTTATGAGTTTAAAGGTGGGTATCCATTATGTTCGCGCTCCAGCAGCGCTCCGCGCTCCTGCAACTGCTCCCGATAGTGGGTACGTGCGCGAATATGGAGCGTGCAACATTGCACGCTCCGCGGCAGGCGCTCCGACTCGTGATGGTTTTTAGCGCGAACACAAAGGGGAGCGCAGTGTGTCAAAGGGGAGCGCATGTAGAAGTGCGCGCGACGTATCCATTGGAGCAGTTGAAGGAGCGCGGAGCGCCGCTGGAGCGCGAACATAGTGGTAACCCAACTTAAAAAGGCTATTTGTTACGGAACTCTAATAATTACGGAACACTAAAAACGGGCCCACAGTGTACGGTGATAACTAAAAAAAGAGTTATAGATTACAACCTTACATGGAAAGTTTGAGAAAATGTTGTCTATTTGAGTTGAGGGGTTGTAACATGGAGTGATAACCAGCGTCATTTAGTAATTTAAATACTGCAGTATTGCTGTTACTAAGGTAGTCTTCGTTAAAATCTCCAAATATAATGCAATGATCTATATAAGGCTACTATTTTCACATTATTTACCTCAAAAGATACTGCTTCACAGTGCTCAGTTCCGGAAATTTCACTGTAAGATCGTGGGTTGGAATATTCTAGATTATGTCTTATCATTGCAGATACACCAAAGCCGGGGTTTGCAGAATACTGTTTCGGGCCATTTGTTCGAACTATTTTTTAAAAATTATTCATATTGAATAAATCTTGTAGGCAACTCCAAGTTTCTACGGCTAAATAAATGTCGCATGCCATCGTCTGCGGATCGGTTACTACATCCTGCAAGTGTTTACGTAGAGATTGTACGTTATGGAACATAATTTGGCAGGAATTGCGGGGCTCTCTTAAAAAGCGATATATGGGAATCAGGGGATTTAATTTTAATTTTCGCATTTCCGTTACGACGGAATCATGCTCAGATGGTGGACGTGGAGGACGAAAGGTCTCGGTAACAATGAATAATCCTTGAGCGCTAGTGGCACGTGAGCAGGCGACGTATAACATAGATCTTAAAATATTGGGCTTTAAATGTACTACAACTTTTTTTAAGGTGGAATCCTGACTTTTATGTATAGTAACAGCTTCAGCGTGATTTAGTGGGAATTGACTGCGACACAGTTGTAAGTTTGAATATTTGTACCTTTTCACAGTGTACGTAACTGGCTCTATTGGAGTCCAAATATTTTTTTAACCGTGTTTGATAACGAGTGAGGGATGTTGAGCTCTGAATTCTTTTTAATTTGCCTATATTTACGTCATCAAAACATATCCAAATGCGTAATAGTCTTCTCTCATCGGTAGTTGGATTGACTGCAAAATCAATCGCAGTCAGTACCCCCGTGGTTCCATTCACTAGTCCGTCTGACGTGTTAATATTTACTGTCATCATATATTTAGCCGTGACTTTTAAAGTTATAGCATTAGGTAATCCGTAGGTTTGAGACTAGGTAACTTGGCAACTGTGTTTAGAGCTTTTTCTTTCATAGCAGGATTAGCTTCGCCACTTACTCTATCCACAGCCCGGGATATCGCTCCTTCGGTAGTCATATTTGAGAGTATTTTAGAATTATGCTCATCAACTTCTCGGTTACTGCTGAATAGATGAACTGCGCCCTTACACGTGTCTGGAAGTGATGAGTTACTAAAGCACCGACCTTCAATTAAATTGACATCTTCAGGTGACATACATCCACTAGCCATATTATTTAATGCCGTTGTAAAGGCAACATCATCCCTTTGACGCATTATTTCTTTAAGCTCTGTCAGTACAAATAAATCCCAAAGCGGCGTACCTGCTATTTCTGCTAAAGGATTTCGAGAATTAGCTTGAAACACTCAGTTGTCGCCAACAGGTGGTAATTGTCTGAAGTCTCCAATTACTATCACTGAAATTCCAGAAAAGAAGGTAGAAGAATGAAATATTTGCTGAAGTCTACGATTTATTTGATGGAATGTCCTGGATTCTAGCATTGAAATTTCATCAATTACAATTAAACCTAGTTTTGCTAGTTTTGTGGCCAGAGTATTGGCCACACTTGGCGACAGCTCTGGTAAAATATTGCCCGCTTGAGACACTGGAAGTCAAAGTGCGCTATGGATTGTTTGCTCTCCTATTCCGAATGCAGCTTTGCCGGTAAAAGCTGTTAAAATTATTTTTAATTCATCGGGATTACTACCAGCTTCTCTGTTAAATAAGAGAGTTAGGCATTGATAAATTGCTTTAATCAGAATACTTTTGCCAACGCCAGCTCCACCACTGATAAATAAATATAGTGGATTTGGAGAAGTAATGGAAAAGTGTTGATAAATATGAAATAACGAGTCTCTTTGAGCATCATTTAGTTTTCTAGTTAGAATCAAAAAATCGTCATGGGACAAGAGAGGCGGTTGCGCAATGAAAGTTGAGGGGTCACCACACAATTGCGGCCCGGGATTTCCGCCTGGAATGAGGTCTTCTGCTATATCTACTGTTTGCGTCTCAAATTCAAAGCCTTCAAATACATCCACGTTGACTCCTCTTCCTTGCAAATCTTCTTCTTCGTTTATTAATTCTACATTTCTTATTTCTGTTAGCAATGTTTCAAACATTTCAGCATCACCTAGTTTATTGAATTGTTTACTTTAGGCCTTTATTCTTTCTTTATACTCGTCAAATATGTCCTTTATATTTATGTTGGGATTTAGTAATTCTTGCATCTTGCTTCGCCAAGGGATGTATAGCATTATCTGTTCCCTATAGAAATCAATGTAACTGTACCGGCAAAATCGTATTACTCGAGTTTTAGTTCTTTTCCGTATGTATCATAAATTATCTTGCAAAGGAATCCAATTCCCTTCCGCTTCAACTTCAGCAGATATAGTTAAAAATAAAGTGGGAACACCGAACTGTCTAACCATTGCCAACAACTTTTTTTTCACTTTCCCAGTGAGCAGGAGAATTTCTAATTCCTCCAAGAACACGATACCCATCATCATGTTGAATTAAATTGTCAACAAAATTATTTTGAAGCACATTACATGCAAATACAGGGGCACCTCTGACAGTTTTTTTTTATCTTGCAAAGGAATCCAATTCCCTTCCGCTTCAACTTCTTCAACAGCCTGGGAATAATCAATTGCTTGAGAACTGTCATTGAGAGTTTCTATTGAACTAGTTGAATAAATTTTTTTGGAATAGGTGTAATATGCTACAAAATGGGAAAGACTTATGTTTTCTAACGATAGTGGTCGTTTTGAATAATAATCAATAATATCCTTTTGAAATATATCGGAAGAATCAGGTTCGAGGCTTTGCAATTCAAGGTAACTTTTTAAAATATGCACTCGCTCTTGTGGCAAACTAGTGTTTATGTACATTGCAGCTTCACTAGCTCGTGACAGCGGTAAACCAGTCAGTACATAGATTGCCTCTTGAGCAGAGATCTCACTAGAATTTAAGAATACATTAGATACTATTCTTAATGAATCTTTAACACTTTTATTTCCTTTTTTAGCTTCGTCCAAAGCTTCACACAAAAGACGAGACATCCCTCGGTCAGCCTTGTTAATATAGTCAACAATATATACTGCGCACGCAAACGGGTCTAATATGAATTGGATGTCCATATTTGCTTTGTTCAAAGATAAGATTTTTTACTAAAAGGATTAATAAATACATCCTGAGGTCTGCGTTGAAGGACTTCCGTAGGTCGTTTTAAGGTGCTTCTAATAGCCAATATATAATATACTTAACTAACTCTAATCCAGTCCAAAAAATCAACGAAAGTGTATATTCCTGCAGCAATATTTTGTATTTTTTGGCAGATGTCTTTTGCCAATTGTTTTGATTTTTTGAACTCTGGATCGTCTTTTGAAAGTTCTATTAATACTTTTGTTTTATCCATGAGGAAAAATGGTATTCCAAAGCGACACAGTCTATCTGATGTTGGCCGGTATGTATGTGTATGTTTATGTAGTTGTAGACGTCTAAGTTCATCAGGTACTTCAGTGCTGTTACAGGAAATAATATTGTCAACAAATTTGGAAATATCATGAGCAGATGCTGTATCACCGGGTACAGAAGTGGGCGCTTCGTCTAACCATAACATCATATGAGCATGAGGCGATCCTCTATGCTGAAACTCAATGCGATAATAAAAGTGAGTGATTTTATAGAAAGGTCCAGATGAACAGGACTAGGTTTTTTGAATTTATTTTAATTTGATTCCAAAATATGTGGCGCAAATGAACGGATCGGATTGTATAAGACGAGTTTTTATATCGTATGGCAAGTTTTCCGCTTCAAGCTCAGTAAGTTTTTTCTTATCAACTACTTCACTAAGCAAAATTAATAATGTAATGCATTGCACTTCAGCAGCAGATATAGTTAAAAATAAAGTGGGAACACCGAACTGTCTAACCATTGCCAACAACTTTTTTTTCACTTTCCCAGTGAGCAGGAGAATTTCTAATTCCTCCAAAAACACGATACCCATCGTCATGTTGAATTAAATTGTCAACAAAATTATTTTGAAGCACATTACATGCAAATACAGTGGCACCTCTGACAGTTTTTTTTGCGTAAACAGGTCGTAACATTATTTTTGACGGCAATAGTTTGTTGATTTTTCAGTGCAGTAAATAGGTAATCAGGTCTTACAGCTCGCCTGTAATTTCTGGAAATTTCTGAACGTGTGACTTCAGAATGACTTAAGTTCACGTGGTATTTTCGCTCAATAGCGCAATGTACTTTTATGAAGGCCAGCTCTTCCAGATGTCGATCAAAAAGCAAGGAAATTGGCCTTTCACCTTCTCCTGGAGCCATAACTATTGTTAGGTCTTGGTTTTCATCTAACAGAGTTTCTGTGCCACCAGGATTTACATCAGGGATCTCATCAACATTGCTCTCCTGCTCAGGTGAACTGCAGGTACATTCGACAGTGTCTTCAGGTTCATTATTTGTCCACGAACCTTCAAGTTCTATACCATATGTCCGAAACAGATCACACGTTACTAAATATTCCGCTGATCTCCGTATGATTTCCGGGCGGACTTGTTTTTTTCGACCATGTTTATAACAGAATTTACGCTTCAACTCTACAGTGATGACATTGTCATCATTTATCGACCGAGGCAAAGCTTTTACCATGTTATTAATTTTTACAGGTACGTTAATAACATTTCCTGATAAACTATGCTGATATCCTAATCCCTGGCCTCTACGAACTATTTTCAAAAATACGTGACGAGGACTTACTAATCTCTCCTCCATTGAAGTTAATTCATTCAAAACATCCAGAATATCTGGAAACTTCAATCCATTAGCTATTGCCAATCGTGGCATTCGCCCTTGAGTTATATATTTAGCACACGTACAGCAAAACTCCGCAGATTCATCACAAGGATTCAAATTAAATACACTTAACGCGAATTCTGCATTATATTTAGTCGAAATAGAATGCTTTATTAGTTTCCTTACAGAATTTTTGTGCCATAATCTACCACAACATGAACAAGGATGATTGTATCCTTCCTTGGTGTTATCAAAATATTTTCGTTTAACATTATCCCAATCATTAATAGAATTACAACGCGCCGATTGTCGAGCTCTGGTGTCTCTAGCTCGTTCAATTTGTGAATAATGTGGATCTTCGCGAGTTATTTGGTGAGCCTGGGTATCACGCCGTTGCTCTATATCACGAAAGACTGGGTTTTCCCGAGCTATGCGGTGAGCATGCGTATTTCGCTGCTGTTCTGTATCCCGGAAGATAGGGTTTTCACGAGCTAAACGATGAGCCTGCGTGTTGCGTTGTTGCTCTGCCTGTATAATGACGGGAATCTGACGAGTGGCCCTGTGGCTCTCAGTATTTCGTATTTGCTTAGTCTGTGTGTAATCAGTATTTTTTCTTCTACGTTTGGCTTGGCCGGACCCAGTATGTTCGTTGTTGGCATGTCTTAATGTAGGACTTGGTTTTTCTTGAGTACTATACGTAAGTGCTAAACAGTCAATGATCTGGATATCATTAGTCGGATTTATGTCTTTCAGTGATTCATCTGTAAATGTTGGACTTTCAATTATCTGCGTACTTTGATATATTTAGAAGGAAAACGTTAATTCTATTTTGTACTTACCTTCATTAGACTAATGATATCCACTATTTATGTGAATTAAAATTATAGCATGTGCATTGAGGCAGCCGTCCGAGTTACGTCGGAGTGCGGGCCGGACTGAAAACCAGTGTCGGGATCAGAGCAATTCGTGTTTCTGTATCTCGATTTTTACTGAGTCCTGTTCATTTCACGGTCTTATGCTGCTACACAGACTCATTTTATATTATTTTTACATTTTTGTTAATTTAGGGAAATATTGTTTTATTTTCTGTTTAATTCCAATTTCTTGCTTTGTTTTGTATCTATTGTGATTAGACCGTGAATAAATGTTTTTTCTTTCTTTCTTTCTTACTACCTGTAAACGTTGGACTTTCAAATATCTGCGTACTACTTGTAGACGTTGGACTTTCAAATATCTGCGTATTATCTGTAAATGTAGGGTATTCAATGTTTTTCTTGTAATTAACGTTTTGACTTTCAGTTTCTTGAGACTGTGTCTTTTGAGACCTTTTGTTTTTTTTTTCTTTTCGGCATTCTTAATTTTACATTTTTCTTTCTTTGCTAGTATATTAAGGAACAAATTTGCTGGTGGCCGGCCAGCTCTTCTTGCGGTGTTAGTTGATGGGAAAATTTCTAATACACCTCGAGATAACATATCAAACAAATGACGTCGCATCTCCTCGGCAATGAAATTGATACAGGATGGATTAACTCTCAAAGCTAAAGCGGTGGCAAAACAAATGACGAATAGCCCACACTCAATACTATTATTTGGTTGGCGTTGGACACTAGGGAATTGTATTTTATTATTATCCAAATATGGGAATAGTGCGTTAACGTAAACGTGCTGTTAATGACTTAAACTATTACATAAACTATCATAGACCCGTAATATTCCATTGATGTAATAAATCAAACCCGACTTCGCTGCCATATATAATTTGTAAATGAGACTCGTTTAGAGGCACAGGCTCTATTAGTTCCGGATAAAGAAAAAGAGACACTTCTCTAGGCCGAAACGATGTATGTTGGGCTAACAAATCATGAAAGGCGCGCACAGCGTCGGTCTGAACATGATTATTACTGTTCAAAATATACGAGAACATTTTAATACCGGACAATAAGTAATTATACACAAGTGTGTTTCACACTATTTTAACATACTAGCCCACTTCAAATCGTAATTAGCTAGGAGTTGTACGTATCAAGTAATTGCGTACTGTGCGTACATACAAAATTAATATGAACAATATCCGGCAAAAGAAGTTAATTTTACCCACAATCTAATTTAATCAAAACTCGACGAACATTAGACTGTGCACTCATAAGATTACGAATATGTTTAAGTGCAACTTCCTTTACCACGGTAGGTCATGAAAGCACGGAAAATATTAACATCGACTTTTAAAAAAATGACGTCATTATGCAACGCCATCTATCGAACCATTTATGAACTGGTTTTTACCTTAACATTTTGATGGCGTTAAAAAAAATGAATTTTAGTTTTGTTCTAAATTGCCTTAGCATATTCCTGATAGAAGTTTTATGTTGTTATAAGATACCGCCAATGCCAAGGAGAGACCAACCGAACAATTCGATAATACCAGATCCAATGTAATAAGTACCTACAGCGCCATCTCTCGGGGAATTGGGTTACTAATTAATACATAGACGTGCCAGATGTTTTCGGTGATAATTTTGGATTGCGAGAACCGATTTTAATAATTCTTTTTTTGTTTGATAAAAGATACGTCCAGGATAATAAAATATGTAAACGAAGTTAAAAAAAAATGCTTGCATATACGATTATACTACAAACTTAGTCCAGATATTATTTTGTACAACTTTTTGTCTTTTTTGTACAAAAACTGTTTTCATCCAAGTTCAAAATGATTTTCCTAGAAAGTCCTTATAAAGTTCTACTTTACAGATTTTTTTCATATTTTCTAAACTTATGGTTCAAAAGTTAGAGGGGGGGTGACACATTTTTTTTTTACTTTTGGAGCGATTATTTCCGAAATTATTGACATTATCAAAAAATGATTTAATTGAAACCCTATTCATTTTTAAATACCTTTCCAACAATATATCACACGTTAGGGTTGAAATTAAAAAAAATCACTTCTCACTTTACATATAGGGGGGGCTACCCTAATAAAACATTTTTTTCCAATTTTTATTTTACCACTTTGTCGGCGTGATTGATACACATATTGGTACCAAATTTCAGCTGCTGCTAACGGTCACAGAGATTAAGCGAGGAAGGACAGACGGACAGACAGACATGGCGAAACTATAAGGGTTCCTAGTTGACTACGGAACCCTAAAAACGCGCGAGTAGCGATCCTCCTACTCTGGAGCGTAGATAGGGCCTCGCTGTCGATACTACTTTGACTTTTTACTAAATACAATTTATTTATTTCTTATTTTTGTACACAATATAAACAAACCTATCTAACGTGTATATAATGTTAATGTTGCTTTTAACCCATATGAGACTTCGGATGTTACACATCATATGCAACTACGATGTAAGTCTCGTTCGTTTTTTTTCAAATGTGGTGTCCACTTTGTTATGCATATTATAATTCCTTGTCTTAGTTTATTATTTTGATTATAGTAAGAATAAAATAAAATGAGCCATGGGTGCCAAGCAAACGCACGCCACCTTAACAGCGCCAATTTAATTGTGTCTTACAATTTTATGTTCCGATTGAAATTTGTGATGAAAATATTTTGGAGACATGTGATTTCGATCAGCACGCTCTGATATTTAGTAACTTTACTGTACTTTAATTATATCGTAGCATCCAGCGTGCATCTCTGCTGTTATTAGGGTGCTTTTATACTATTATATGCCTGTATTTGATTACTAGGCCACGTAATGTGGAATGGTGATGCAGCCGAATATGGTAAAGTGACTTAGCTTTACAAAAGCCTATTCACTCTTCGCTTGAAGACACCTACACTGTAATCGGATGGAAAAACAGATGCAGAGAAATCATTTCACTCCTTTGTTGTCGTTTGGATCAAATACATATACCACGTACGGTAAAAGGGCGGAGACTCGCCGATTTTCTCCATGATTCATCCTTGTTAGAAATGGTTTTTGGGAAGATTTGTCGCATATCAAATTTCAGGTAATGATGAAGGGGATCCTATACAAGGTCAATGGCGGCATGTTTCCCGCAACATAGGAGTTTCAAGTCAGCTAAACGTTTGTTCAAATAACCATCATTTTATTATAAATTAGCATATATTATTATAAATTAGCTGTAAAATTAGCAGTTTTTAAACGAGGCTTAACAAGGGTACTAAAAAAACTACTACAGTCCTCGTTTCCACTAACCACTCCAGCAAAATGCTTGTGAAGGAAACTGTTTACACTATTAAGTCGTAATCACAGTACATACATACATGGAGACACCTATATGACTGTACCTACCTTAGGTACAGAAATAAGAGTAAAGGTTGGGCACAGAACTTTACTCATTTCTGAAAAGGTTAAAGAGAAATTAGTCAGCTGCGCTGCACCAATACATGATTGCCGAACTTTACATGACTTTATAATGTTTTTATTCCTCATACCTGCGTGTAATAAATCAGCACTCTAACTGTTACAACGAGGCTCGAATAGTTGTTCGCGTACTACGCATTTTACAGCGAACTTTAAGTCTCTGGATAAGACGAGTGCTGACGAGTACGAATGTGAAAAGGATCTACACCTGTAGATTCGCTTCTCCTCTTCTATGCTCACTTTCTTGTCGCTATTTTGAGCAAAGATCAAAGTAACGAAACTCATGTTCGTCAGTATTTTGAGAGACTGAGGGAGTTCTTAGAGTACGGACGTAAATGAAATTCCTTTTTTATGAATAGTTAACAACCATCATCTCCTTATCTTTAAATATTTATGGATATTTTCTTTACTGTAGGTAGTACATAACTATAACGCTATATTTGAAAAATTATCATTTCAAGAAGTAGCAATTTCTTGCAATTTGTCTCCGGTTCTCTACACTCACCATTCGAAACACAGCAGCGTTGAATATTTTACGCCGGTATTGTGTGAGAACGTGGTCCTTCCACGATCGAGCTAACCTATTCGTGTTCAAACTATACTAGTAATATAGATGCAGCTTGGCTCTACTACGTAAAGAGTTGTCGTAAGAGGCGACAATGAGAAATGCAAAAAAGTCTAATGGTTTTCGATAGATGACGGAATAAATATCTCGCTCACCCCAGACAAAATATGCCAACCGGTAACGTTGTGCGACCCCAAAGGTCTAACGCATCTGATACTGCCATAGATATAATAATAAATCTTTGGATACAGCAATTTTCAATTCTATCTATCGAGAAACGAAAACGGGGTAACCCAAGTCCAGTTGTAAACTTTTTCGGGCTCATGTCGACATCATGAAAAGAAATTAATAAAGCACCTTTGAACAGTTATCTTTGAATTTCCCATAAGTGTGTAGGTAAACAAGTGTATGTTAAGTGTAAGTAAACAATTTATTAGAGCTTATGCAGAGTTCGCTTGCCTTGACACCGCTCGCCAAGTACCTCATACGAGCACTTCCTGCGAGGCTGAAGTGCGACCGTAACAAGATTATTAAAAAATTAATAACGATGCATAAAGCAGTAGTAAGTAAGTGAGACGAAACGTACAAAATATTGTGATTTCGTGCATCAATACATTCATCATAGGTGATTTCGCCATTAATAATCTGACAAAGAATAATAATAAACAACTTTTTGAGTCAAAATGTAGAATATCGTGCTAGTAACTTGTAATAAGAATAATCAACAAAAATTGTATTAAATGGATTATACTAATAATTTAACCTTTAGGAATAAGGTTATGGTTACCTTGTTGTTTCTAAAATGTTTGATATAAATATTAAAACTATAATATTGTAAATATTCATGTATTATTTGAAAAAACCCGTAGTGCTGCTTGATGATTCTTTCCGGAATTGAGATATTTTACAAGTACAATTTATGTATACTTAGATTTAAAAATGCTTCCGCAGCACAGGAAAAGTTTAGATCTAACATTTAAAAACTTTTTTTCCCGTTTTTGTTTCACACAATCAAAGAAATATTTAATGCTAAATATTATAATGCTCCATGTGTTAATATACTATCATGTTGTCGTTTATTAATTAAATAATATTTTTTGCCCAGCTTATTTTCTATAATTAGTACGATGCCGAACTTTGGCATATTTGCCATATAAATTACGGTCCTGCACCATACCTTTTGATCGACTCTCTTCATCTTTAATCAGTCCGTCACTCCATTTATGGTAGAGAAGGGAAAGCAGGGTTAAATTTTATTAATTATTACTACTAGTACAGTAATACTTACTGTACTACTTTCTTAAGAATTCAGAAATTATAGCGTATTTTAATAGTTCTATGTGCCACATTATGAAGAAAGACGAAGCCTGAGTTTCTGATGAATGTAAAGTAAATGTTCCTTTTAATGCAGCTTTCAGTTACTATCGGACACCTTTTATAAGATATCAAGCTACTGAAAAACCTATGTACGTCGTACTATAAAGCATAAACATTTCGAACAGTAGCTACAAATCTTTGTTCCTCATAATAAGGTGAATCAGCGGCTGTTAGTAATGTATATATATATAGCCTAGTATAGTAATAGTATAGTCCC